ACACACACACACACACACATACATACACACACTCACATATACACACACGCATACATAAACGCACGCACACACATACACACACACACGCGCACGCGCACACGCACACACACACACACACACACACACACACACACACACACACACACACACAAACTGCATAGACAACAGCATAAAACACCAGCAACAACAATGTTAAAACAACAACTGCAACAACAACAATAAACTCAACAAAAATAGCCCCAGAGAGTGAACAAAAACTTACCAGATCTCAGACTTCAGACCTCAAGATATCCAATCAAGTTTACGCTACAACTCGGAGAGAAATAAGGCAACTCTTGTAAGACACCAACCAGACAACGACTTATACCCAGTCCACACAGACAATCAGATTTATCGGATTAATTCGGAACCAGCCAGACTTTCCTTCATGGATGAGGCAAAGTTTACCAATCTGACCCTACAATTCTTGAGCTTGTTAAACAAAAAAGGTTTTGAAGGTCACAGTCGAAATACGGTAGTATTGTGCTAAAATGTTATCGTTTTCACAACCTCATCTTTGATTAAAGATGTGGTTGGCCCCGACTTAATTGGGTGACTTCGATAGGCAGTGTGAAATGGGTATAAGCTGTAATCTCCAACGTGTAAACCTCCACAGATGTACACTGTTACGTGCCTTGGTCATAAGATCACGATTTTACACTGAGCGTATGTGAACCAGACTTGTCCTTGAAGGTGGTCATTCAAACAAAGGCGTGGTCAGTTTGCGAAACGGTACAGATACGACTGAACGTGCAGAATACACAGCGTTCTTGGTTTTCAGCAAGCACAGTCCCCTTTCACCTTGCTCCCCTTCTGTCTCGTCCAAACATGATATATGGCCACAAAGAGACAACTTATCACTTCAATATTTATACTTACGTTATGCTAGCAATGCGAGACATAGACAAAAAGTAAAACCCATGAAAGCAAAATGACTGCATGCGTGTTGAAATTTCTCCGCAAAACCATAAACATCACAAGAAGAAACAGGAAGAGAAGTGAAGACGTAAGAGCACGGAGTCCTGCCTGCATGCCATAGGAAAACCAAAGCGTTAGTAGTTTGACCACCTGTTACTAATGACACCTTGTCCGCCCCGAAAGCCTAAAACACCAACAACTCGGACTACGAAGGAGACTGGGGACGAAGAGAGCACAATTTCATGGTTTTATTAACAGACAGGACAGAAAGGAATACACAGTTTCATGGTTTTATTGACCCACAAAATTCGAATAGGTCCTTCAAGATCATAGAACAGTTAAAGAGACTGGACCTCCAATTCCTACGTCATTGTCCTATTTGACCTAGCCAGGTGGGCGTGGAGCCTTGAAAACTCCTCCAGCAATCAAAGTTCAACGACGCACATTGAGGATTCAACCCATAATACAACATGATAGCGACCAAGCTAACGGTGTCCCCAGACTTGAAGGAGCTTCATTGATTTTTAACTGATGGAAATGAGGGAGAAAAGTACATAATATTTTGTTAACAGAATGAGGAGAGCGAATACAGTCTGCACTGTTTCGTTAACTAACAAAACTGAAGGGGACGTTTGCCGTTTCGCAGTTTTGTTAACAGATACAAGTTATGAAGTGTACAATGTCATAGTTTTGTTAAGAGAAAAGACTGGTAATTATACAATTTAATATTTTATTCACAGAAAAGGCTGATGGAGAAGAATTCAATTTCTTGGTTTTGTTAATAGAAAAAAATGTGGCAGGAAAAAAAATATCACCGCATTATTTCATTGAAATGAGATCGTTGGAGAAAAGTACAGGGTTTCATGCCTTTGGTAATAGCAAAGAATGTTGAGAATATAATTCTCCTGCTTTGTTTACAGACAACACTATGTGAAAAGTATACAATTGTATTGTTCGGTTATCTGACAGGATAAGGTAGTGTACCATTTCATAGTTTTGTAAATTAAGCCTTTTTATGAAGTTTGTAAATTATTTTTAATAATGAAATAAAACGAAATGACATAATAATAATAATGAAAATAATAATAATTATTA